TTTCTTGCCATTCCCAGCACTTTAATTATTTATTATTTATTATTAATATTATTGTTATTATTTATGTTTTTAGCTTGACACTTGAATAGAAAATTGTAGCAAACTTCAACAACTGCATACCTTTTGTGTACAGTAGTTATCCAATTTTAGCTATCTGGCTTCAGAATTTAACAAGCCTATTTTTGTGTTTTATATCAGTTCATCTTGATCCTTTATAAAACTGATTAAACAATTTTAGTTTTCTCACACACATTTTATTCCTATGTGGATCTTAAATTTACAATATTCTAACTGTGTTTAACACATATTTTCAATTTCAAAGTAACTATACATCACAACACTTTGTACACCCATGTTTTGTGTTTTTTTTCTCCATGTTTTCAAAATTCATATGGCATAAATATTAGTTTTTTGTTTAAAAAAGGTTCAAAACTATTCATTTCAGTTGGTGCTTAGTATTTGTTTTAATAATTAATGAGCTTTAAATGCACACATAACTACGATCATTGTCCAATATTTTTCTGTTTGTTTAAACTGCAGACTGCTACAAACTGCTTCTAAGTTTTCTCCTGTTTTCTTTTTTTCCTTTATTCGTGGAGTTTTAATTTTCCTTATTTGGTTTAACAGCTTATTTATTATTATTTAAATATTTATGTGGTACTGATCACTCCTGCAGCAAGATCAATGTTTTCTGTTCCCTTGGCTCTTCAAAACTGCATAGGCGTTGTAATTTTCAGAGTATCTGTGCAGTGGGAAGACTTTCAGAGTGTACGTCACATCCTTTTTCCTTCATTTGCAAAACTTCGCTCATGYAGGACTGAGCTCCGTTCACTAGGGAAGAAGCCGTACTCCTTCTTTTTCCACAAAACCTCCTGGTCACCCTCCAAAGATAAGTATAAACATATATTTGCCTTGTATAAACATTGATTCATTCTTAGAATAACTTGGCAACTTTTTCTCTTTTTCTCTTTACTCCTTCTGCTCGGAGTATTTACCCTGTGTGTGTGTGTGTGTGTGTGTGTGTGTGTGTGTGT